AGCAATATCGCACGCACCCAACACCCCACTAATCAATCTACCCTGCCGCAGGCTCCTTTGACGCACACCCAAACCCCTATCTTACAATATCCTGCGGAGTCGTGAGATGGACANTCCACTTAATTCAAACCAAGATTCTGGAAACAGCTAAATTTATTTCCACGAAACTTTACTAAGAACCTTTCAATAGCTTTGATGCATTTTGGGATGTCAAAAATTTCAAAAATGGTCTATTATTAAGGAAATTTTTTTCGACTATTTGTGCCGCTCGTCTTGATTAGCAACTGGGAAACTTGGGCATACGTAGATGTTCCTTACAAAAAGTTTATCTTGCGAGTCACTTGTTTCATGTGGAGAAGCAAGTAACGGGGCGGCTGCAGCAGTTGAACGATCGGTTAGTTATTCGTTTGGTCGGTTTAACTGGTCTCTGTGTCTGTCTGTCAACAGGAAAATTTCTTGTGTCTCCACCTAAAAGACTCACTACAATAAGTCACAATAAACGAGTACAGAAAGGAAACACGGAAAATATCACTACCTAAGCCACAAGGGATGTCATTGTTTTATCTGAAATATCCAGCGTGTAAGAGAAAGCTTTGCAGAAGATCCAAAGTCAACAAAACAACGCGTCGCACAATTAGGCATATTACGGATGTCCCTAAGGTGATTTTGAAGCTGCAATACTGATTATGACCGACGAAGCTCATTTGAAGTTAAGTGGATTTGCAAATAAGCAGAATTATCGCTACTGGAGTACAGAAAACCTTCGTATTCTTTATAAAGGACTACCTCTTTCACGAGTCACTAATATATAGTGGGGCATTTTTGACCAAGGTTAAATTTGATTCACATTTCTTTAAGAACAAGGAAGGCACGTCTATTACGGTTATAGAGCAATGCTGGATAACTTTTTGCCACCTCAATTGGAAGTCCTAGGACTGACAATATATGGTTGCAACAGGATCGCGGGACTGTGCGTACATTCAGAAAGACAATGGTCATTTTGCGTAACATGTTCCCTGGGCAAATAATTTCTCGATTTGACCTTCGAGATCACCAGATCTTATAGTTCCTGATTTCTTCTTATTCGTATAGAGCTATCTATAATAGTTACAGTAGCTAAAGCACAACATCCGCCAAGAAATAGAAGATTTAACGCCTCATGTCTCGACTCGAGTTATGGAATATATTGAAAACGAGCTCAGTTGTGCTTCGCAGTTAGATGCAGCTATTTGACTAACATCATCTTTAATTGGCTTAAACTTTGAATACATGCAAGTTTTTTACCCACGTTTTTTTACCGTTTCTTTCGTTGCATTATATACGACTGCTAATTAAAATCGTGTACTTGATTGTAGTCGTCCCTGTAGAACGCCATGAGGTAGTAGCGTTATTTATCACAAACGAATAAACAAATTACCAGTCTATCATAAATTTCTTTTTAATACACAATACTTCCAATATTAATACTATAATTATGCTTATTAGATTAGATTACTGTTCGCAAATAGTTAAGGATGTCAGTTGTTTTAGTTTTAGGGAAATGCGAAGATTAACTCGGGATAAAAAAGAGTAGAGTGCGTGTCCAACCAGTCTTAGGACTGACGACCTTACGATGATGATGATGAATTATGCTTATTAGTTTTTTAAAGTTCACATTGGTCATACCATAAGGTCACCAATCCTAAGATTGGTTGGACACACACCTCCACTCTTTCCTATCTCGAGCTAATCTTCGCGTTTCCTTAAAACTCGAACATCACACATCAAATTAGGAAATAATGTTTTGTATAATTATTAGTGATTAAATGTATTGGCAATTGTCACAAATCAGTGTAATTAATTTCAGTTAAGAAGTTCAGAAACAATCATAAATTCCGTACATTGGCTTGCTTCCAACGAAATTCTTCGCACCTCTTCTAGTTAAGGATTTTAGAATTTTGAAATATCCTCTCTATAGCGAATCCCCATCAACACTCCATAAAATAAAACGTGTTGCGCGACAGTTTTCGGACAAAAGGGCGAAGCATTAATAATATGGATCAATTTTCCTGTTCTGCATTAATAAAAATTACGCCGAGGCCTCCTAAGTAATCACAATATGTCCCAACCCTCTTCCCAGCGGTGTGTTTTGCACTTAACCCACCCTGTCCTAAACATACACACCCCAGCCAGTCCTGCTTCAATATCGTCGCCTGACATTTGAAGCGCACGAGAAAGCGGAACGGTGTCGACCTCGACGCTGCTGCACCCTTATCTGCGGGGGTGTGTTAGCAATATCGCACGCACCCAACACCCCACTAATCAATCTACCCTGCCGCAGGCTCCTTTGACGCACACCCAAACCCCTATCTTACAATATCCTGCGGAGTCGTGAGATGGACAAGGGTATACGTATATTATATACGATACGTGCAGCGTAAAAACGAAACGGAAGAAACAAGTCAGTTTTTCGACGAGAAAGCCGTAGGTAATAGGATTAGGAAATTGAAAAGAAAAATAAAGCAAGCCTCGAGATTCATGAGGCACATGGAAGAACAAATTACGATTTTCGAAAGAAAACCATTTCGCAAACAACGAACCAACACTGTCACAAGTGTTATTACCGAAAACGGCAAGTTACAAAGTGAAAAAAAGAAAAAACATGAAATAAGCAAGACGATTTTGGTCAAAAATTTTCGACAAGTTCACCGGTTTAATACCTTTCGCTGTATCAGTTCGTTTTCGTGGTAATGAAAAATCATTACGGTAAAAATGAAATAAAAACAAAAGGCAAGCTGAATTAATCTACGAACATAGGAATGTAAAAAGAAACTGTTTGACAATTAAATTATGTAGTATAATTAGGAGACATTAGATGATTTTTTTTTCTTAATTATATCGAAAATCTTGTTGAAAATGGTAAAAAAAATCATTTAATGACATTTATTTAAAAAAAATTTCAGTTTTTTGCAGGTAACTTATGATCTTCGAAAAATATCAAAAACTTTTTGAGAGATAAATTATAGGAAATTAAATTCTCTACAAAAAATGTCTCATAAAATTTTCCCATAAAGTTGATGGTTGCGTCGGAAATTAAGAAAAATGTAAAAATTTTAAACCAATCCAACTTTAACGTTAAATAACTTTTGAAAAAATGAATATATCAAAAAACTGTAAGAGACCTTTTTTGTAGAGCGTTAAATTTTGTATAAAAATTTGTTTTGATCATTTTAAAATATTAACTCTAACGAGAGTTAAAAAATTCCAAAATCCAAGAGAACATCGTTCCCATGTTATTTAAATGGGAAATTGAAATTTACGATGCGGCACCTCTTAATATTAATATTAAGAGCTCTAACTTTCACAGTATTTTTTTTTTACCATTTTCAACAAGATTTTCGATATAATTAAGAAAAAAAAATCATCGATTTTTTGAAACAGTCTACTAGACATGTATAAATCAATAAACGGGTGCTCCCCCAAGGCCCAATGTTCACATCATTCTAAATTACCTGTACCAACTATGCTGTTCATATAATAGTTATTGCAATTACGTATATTTCGTTAAAAAAAAATACGAAAATCTGCAGAAAGGGTTATTATTCTATAGAACAGAAAAACAAAGAGGAGCGTCACTGCTTGAACAAACAATTTCGAGGATCGAACATTACGGCAACTAAATACTTGTGAGAAAGCGCTCAGTCTGACCAATAAATTCTATACCGTCCCTGCGGAAGAAGAGTCATCAAGCAAGCGAGCTCTTTCTCATCTGACGGCGGCTTTAAGCTTACTTGGTTCGCATGGCTTCTGAAATAACATCGCATATAGAGAGTCGCCGGTCGTCGGTGGCTGGTGGTTCTCGAGATATAGCCGCCACCGCGTCCTCTAAAAACGACGACCACTCAGCCGATGACAGTGTATAAATGATGGTGGGCGAGGAAGAGCAAACTGTCAGATCGAAGTTTGCTGCGGAACAGAAAGGGTATCAGGCAGTAAAGCAACGAGAGAGCTTTCAGCAATGTTGTTGGCCAGTTGGTGCTGCTGCTGCTGCCTTCATCGATGCCTTTGCGGACGGTCAGCTTGATGAGTCGCGATGGGATGGGAAAGAAGCGAAAGAGACGACGACGATGGGGAGGTTGAGAGGAGGACGAGAACGGGAACGGGGCTGAAGATGGAGAGAGGAGAGGAAAGGGAAGAGGGTCGGATGTTCTCGCCCAAAAGGATGAATCATGAGAGTTTGCGGCACAAGGATAAATTCCTGCGGATTCTACAAGCGAAATGGTCGTCCTCCTTTATCCTCGAAATACGAAGATAAAGACGATTGTTAGGTCTACGTGAAGGATCCAAGAAAGTCAGAACCGCAGATGTGCGACCATCCATTCCATTCCGGAATTTACCGGCTGTTAAACTTTATGGAAACCAGATTATTTTTCCTTCTTGCTTTTGGATTACGTATGAATTTGAAATACAATACTTCGATAAAAAGAAAAACTGAACTTGACAAAATTATCAATATTGTGCGAATACTGATTAAGTAAGGAAGGAAGGGTTGTTGATTACATTGCGAAACTTTTTATATCCAAAAAGGTTCATAACAATTATGTACAGCATCAATCAACTAACACATTTCAAAGATTGAAAACTGCTATTATTTAAAGATGGTTATCCAGTTTTAGATAAAGTAGTGCTGTGAAAAGCAATGAATTAAAAGAAGAACATTAACAAATTTTGACATAATACTTGCACCCAGATAGTGCATTTAATCTTCTTCTATATATCTCAATTAAATTAAATGATTTTGGTTTAATTCCTGATGATTCCTTAATGAGGCGATATGCATATTGGCCATTATTATTATTATTATTAACACGATAACTTTTAAACAGGTTTTAAAAAATTTTGTTTTTTAGAAGAAAGTACTTCATTCGGTTGTTACATGCATATGTAGTTTTGGTTGAAATACGATAGATGTATCGACATCGTTCAATATTTAATATGAAAATCGTCTGCCTCGAGATCTTTTACGCAATGTTTTCGAGGAGAAATTTTCTGGTGAGCATATCGACAATAAGGATTCGTAAAAAGAAGTCCTTAAATTTTAAGGATCAATTAAAAGGCACATTTAGTGCGCCATCTTTTATAAAAGGGAGTAAAGCACTTGTTTAGTGCCCGTATATATATCTGACCTCTAATAATAAACTGCTGCATTATATTCCTTAATATCGACAATAATTCCAGGAGCGGAAAAAGAATCGAATCGCAGCTCCAATAGCGGGTACGCTTCCCAGATAAATTTCGTTTTAGTAGCGTTTTATAACGGGGATGATAACGTGGCTACGCTAAAACCGAGTTATGCGTCCATTCGATCAGGGTCGCGGTCATAAAACCGAACAGCCAAACGGATCTCGTATCTAGGCAATATCATCTCTGTGGGTTAGTGTCGCCCATAGAATGCAGATATTGCCGATGAAGCAACTGGGAGCTATACACAAGAGTGCGAAAAATGGCTCGACATTACTTTCTGAATATGATGCTTGTTTCATGCCCCACTGAAGATATAATGTTTCCAAGAACTCCGCTGCGGCCTTACAAACCACGGATAATCGCATAGGAAGAGACGTCGTAAAAACTAATGGAAATGTTTGCTTATAAAAGTCGATGCAGTTTTCTTTCTTTTCCATTCGCGACGCAAAAAAATAGAAACAATAACTCCAGCACTCTATACTTTGCAAGATTGCACACAAAATAGGCCTTTGATTACGCACAGAAGATTACAATTAACAATTATTACCAATCATGTCGCCCGCGTTGACAGGAAATCGAATAAAAGTGGTCAAGTGCGCGTCAGACTGGTGAACTAACGGTTTTGTACCATGGAAAGTTCTAAAAAGTATAAGGTTACGAACGTTTATAATCAGAAATTAGTTATCTCAACTTAGTGATCGATAATTGTCAAATTTCTGTTCCTAATTTTACAGGGAAGTCTTCAAATATTTTTGAAATAACTATTAATATAAACCACCTTTATTTTTATATATTAACCTTGCCTTTGATCGGTTTATACTAAAGGTCTCGATCAGTATTCGATCGATATTCCTTCCTCCAAAAAATAATAACGGTGACACTCAAAGCTCAAACATAATGTTTCACTTTTTAATAATTTATAATTTATACCAAGCATATAAGTACATGAATTATGACAGATTCAAATTTCATTTAAATCTTACTAATGGATCAGTACACATCCGAAGTAAAAAGTCAATAAAATGAATATTTTCAGTACACAGTTCACATTGAAAAGACTCAATACAAAAGTTGTACACTTGTAATTTACGAATCAATAATCAACGTTCACATAAATATTCGAAATTTCAATTAGAAAACTTGGGAAATGCGAATGATGAACGAGCGCTGTAGATCCTCCAATTATTGTAAACGCAGTGGTGGAACACATCATGGGACCGACAGACCTGACGACTCGACGGCTGAATGATTTATTAATTTTATTAGCTGCGACAGGGTTTACGATGTATTTATATGTTCCCTACCAGATTTTTTTCATTTATAATGAAAGTTGTTGATACGAAAAGTTGTTTACAGCGAAAAGTCTGTTGAACAGTAAGGGGTAAATGCGATTTTTCTTGTTTGTTTAACTAACTACTTCACCGACTCTAAAAATTTTCCAATTACACTACGATATTACAGGTAAATAAACATGTATAGGCTAGAGGTTTTAAAAAATAAAGTCCCATCAGAAAATACCTCTTTTCTAAACCAAATCGAAAAAGAACGAGTCATTCGAATGTTTTCTTGGAATGAGCTGACAAAACTGTTAATTTTACAATTAATTAGGTTGTGGTAGGTTAGGTTATAAAAAGGTATTTCATATGAACTGATTTCAATAATAGCGGTATCATAACTTATTTCTGTGTGCGTATTTTTTTTTTGATAACGAATTTGGGAAGCATATCACTAGCACAATTCTTCCTTTTTATTTTTTTCAAAAATGCCGGTGTAAGTTACCAGGCAAAGGTATCAAGCAATGCAAGAATATACATTTTAGTTTATATTTGGAAAATTAGCCGTTAAATTAATATTACTCCTAATTAAGTAGTAAGATCGTACTTTGGGTCTACTGTGTGCAATAAGATACGAATCCTCATTAAATTATAAAGATCTACTTAGCTTTTACCCGCGGCTTTTCTCGCGTTGGTGTCTTAAATACGTGTCAAGGACCACATAAAACTAATTTTTGTATCCCTCGGAAACGGAATTGTTTATGGATAACAGGTACCCTATATCCTTTTCTGTACCCCTGACAATATGTGTACAAAATATCATGATGATCGCTTGAGTTATTAAGGCGTGAAATGGTAATAAACAAACAAACAACCAAGTTCACATTCGCAATTATAATACTCGTATTAGTAAGGATTTCGCCTAATAGAAATAAATCCCGAAATAAAACAGATTGAGATTGATCTCAAAGAGTTAATGGTTTTCATTAAGGTCCACTGTCTTTTTTTTATATTTTTATAAAACAATATCAACGTGTTTGAAACCCACTGAAAAATGCAAAAATATCAGTATAATCACAAATTTTAAAATAAATGTCCAACCCCACACCAAGACATACAATGACTATCAAGTTTTTTATCTATAATAACTAATTAAAATTAATTAATCATTATTTATTGATTGATACGTATATTAGAAATACAATACCTGAGCTAAGAAACTATCAACGATTTCAGGGTGTAATAGGACTAATATTATAAATATTTCGTCGTCCCTTGTTACAAAACGATATACACAAGTCAAATACAAGAAAAAGTAAAACAAAATCAAGAAACTTACCTTACTTATCTTTCCAAACTGTTTAAAATCGATAAGTGACTAAAAAACTTTATTCTAAAAGTCTTTTATAATTTATTTACTTAATAGGTTTACTATTCGTTTTTGCACATTCACTAATTCATTCGTTATTAATTACCTATTAATTCAGCATTCACACTATGCGTTAACAGGTTAATTTAACGATATTTAATGATTCTATTGTAAAAGTACTTTAGATACTATACCAAAAGTAGTATTCCGTTTATGTTGAAATTATGCATTTATGTAATTTTAAAAATATTAGTTATATTTTTTATGATCATTCACTACATTTTTGAATTTTAAAGTTTGGAATATCTTTTCCACTTAACAAAATGGGATTCGTACAGGTACTAATAGTAGAAGTAAATACTTCTACATAAGTAATAAACAAATATGTATGCAATATCTATCAAAAACTTTACTAGTAGGAAATAAC